TCACAATTCTGCAAAAAAAATGGAGAAAATGAGAATTGTTGGTTTCCGAGAGCAGATATCGATTCCCATGGAATAAAAAAAAAAAATTTTTCTTTTAAATTGACACGAACAATTCTCAAGCCGTCGTTTTTTTTTTCCTGGATTTCGCACGACAAGGAATACTCGAGCAATCGAGAGCAACTGGTGCAATAAAAATAAATTATCGCGATTAAAGTACGTTAGCACCGAGCGGAAACGCTACCCGTCTCATGATGCGGCCGAGGACGCCGGGGAAGGCGCCGTCCCGGAAGGAGGATCCTCTCGTCTTCTCCGCCGAGAAGAGCGTCCAGCTGAAGATTCATAATTAGGGGCATTTTGGGGAGGGAAAATATTCACCTGATGATCCTAACCCCATTTTTTGTGACGTCATACGAACGGAACTAACTTGACGTCAGGATGAAAATTGTTGAAAATCGAATGAGTTTTCCCGCTTTCTTTAAAAGCTGAGAGCACAGAATGCGCTTGTAATAATAAATAATGATGTTTAATTTAATTATTTAATAGTTTGTTTGCCCGAAGAGCCAAGGAACCCGCTGCTTTAAAATATTTCCCAAGGAAAAAAGGTAAAAATTAAACAAAAATTCGGGAAGCAAAATACAGGAGCTAAAAATCGAGACAAAAATCGCGCAGCACTGCTTTGCATCCCGCGGAAACAGACGTGAAATTGAGCGCCCGGGCGAGCACGACGACGGCCTGGTGGTCCCTCCCGCCCGGCTCCGTCACCGACCCGTTCGCCGTCACCTCGAAGTGGTACCACGGGGACTTCTGCAAGGAAACGAAGGAGTTGCGCGATGGGAGAAACTGTTTTTCGGATCGGTTTCTCCGCTCAGTGTAAAGCGGCTGCAAGAAGGACCGATCCGAAAGCAGGCCGCCAAATCGAAGACGGGACGAGCCTCACATTGATGACCGGAAGTCGAAAGACCCTCCCCCGAAGATCCCTGTAGACATCCTCGGCCCTCGGAAGCGGCGGGAGCGACTCGAATCCCCCTCCCGGGGTCCACCCGTTCACCCTCACCGGACGCGGACACGGCCACGCACACGCCTGGTTGTAGTACACGCTCACCTGCAAGCTGGAACCGAAACGAGGTGCAGGGTTGCCCGATCCCCCTTGGCGTCTCCCCCCCTCACCTCGCATCCCTGCCTCCCCTCGCGGCGAGGAAGACCACCCGCATCGGCTCCACCACCAGTCGGTGCCCTTCCGTCTCCGCGAACACGTACAGGAATCTCCGCCGGATCAGGTCCTTCTCCCGGATCTGCGTCCGGACGATTTCGTCCCGAGGGATCGGTGAGGTGGAATCCGACTGTTTTCACGCGTTCGCGACTCGACTTTGTTCCCGATGATGTGCGTGGTTTAACCGAATCGGAATGAGGAATTTTTCCGAACCACCGATTATTCGAGAAATGCGCCACGAACCATCGAAACCACATCATAAAATAAAACGACAACGGACAGTATTAATAGGAACGTTTACATTTCCGATTCTTTCTGTCCGCAGTTGCCACAGCAACCGATAAAACCGAACACTTAGGCTGATACTCTATTCTCTGTTTCCTCTTCGGATGACCGACGCTTTACGAGCTTTACACGTAAAGACAGTGGCGTGCCCAAGGGGGGGGGGGGGGTTGGGCATCATAACCCCCCCTTGGGGTCAATTTTGCAGGTTTTATTCTCACAAATTTTTAATTTGACCACAAATGCAGGGTTCAGGTATCAGTTTTTTCATTTGTTAACCCCCCATTAGGGTGGGTAATCAGTGTTTCACATGGCAATCCCCCCATTCGGATTTCCTGGGCACGCTACTGCGCAAAGAGCCCCAGATTTAAAATCGGACGTCATCTCGCCCTAGCAATTTTTATCGGAGACGATGCCATCCGCAAATCGCATAACGAACACACGGCTTCCGGTTCCGGCAACGAAAGAAAGAACAGACCATTTCGAGAAGAGCGATCCCGAGTTGCTGGTCCCTCGACGCGACCAGGATCCCGTGGTGGCCGAACGTCTTCAGCTTCGACGCCTCCATCGTCGACAGAAACTGAGCAATTAAAGAAATTCCGATCGAATCACGAGCGTTGCAAACGGTGCAGCAGACCCATCAACTCGTGCACGACCGAAACGAATGGAAATTTGCCGATTTGCCAATTTGGAAGCATCCAACTTATTTTGATAAGAGAACGAGTAAATAAAAAAAGTTGTCTCGCGGAAAGAGCGCAAGGGCAGAAGCGAATGGAGACGTTTTTTCGAGCCGCTTCCGCTTCCCCCCTGGCCAGAAACCGAGCAGACGAGAGCGATGACGTCACACGGGATGGACGTCAAGCCCCTCCCCTAAATCCAACTAGACCGGACAGGGCAGTGGAAGATCTCCCGCCGATATGAGAGACTGGCGGCCATCGCTGTTACCGTCGACGAGTCGATGAGCCGATCACGGCCGACGTGAGTTCAGGATCCGGATGCTCTGAAAGAATCGTCCGACCGGGTCGGGTATCGCGTATTGCGTTCGTGAATCGGGCTCGATCGGTATTGACCCTTTAGAGGGGTCTCGACTTCAGGTGTGACGGGTTTTTCGTTGGCCAGTGTAGACCCTGGGCCTAACTGCATGGGAAACGGATATTGCACCTTCGCAATGTTAAGTGAAATAAAAATAAAGACTGGATTTCTGCTCCTCAAAGACGGAAAAGGTAGCATTAATCGATTTTGAAAACACCGTATTTCGTCAGTGAAGACCAGGTTGGCCTAGGCCTACACCTAGGTCTAGTGTGGTGCTACTGCCTTAACATTTATTACGTTTCACAACAATGGGATTCGGATTTTCTTCTGAAGAGGTCTTACATTTTTTTCCTAATGCAGGGTGGAAAGAAGTCTCAACTGCAATGTTGAGCGTCAAAACTCACAGTGGAGCGTGACGTCACGAATCGGAAAGCTATGCGTTTATCGAGCGACTCGACGGCATGAGCGATGGCGGCCGCCCTTCTAATCGGCACGCGGCTGAGGCGCGTTCTCCCATTGGCCCGTTCCCACGCCTCTTGGCCCCCCCCCCCCCCCCCCAGTCCCGATCCCGCGAACTCTGACTTCACTTCAATGCCGATTGGGAAGTCGGAGGGAGCAGACGCACCTCTCTCCGTCCGTCGTCGACCCTCCATCCGAAAGCCTGGATCGCGATGGCCTCTTCCTGCAGGGCGTTCAGCAGCGCTCGCAGCTCTCCTTCGCCTGGGATGCCGAGAAAATTCATAAGTTTAATGATATTGATTTCTTACCGTTTTGATTAATTAATCGTTTGTACCGTAAGACTGGTAGTCGAACAAGACGATGACGTCTTGAAACCCCTCGGCCAGGAAAAACTGCGCAAGGAACTTCCCATAATCCGCGGTCCAAATCGGAGATTCCTCGATAGAAGGAATCCAGGCCCCTATAAGACAAAAGGGTAAATTCGTTCGTTGCTTCGAGATGTGGCCAGATGACGATCGATGTTGGGTCCAACGTTGTTTCCATGGACTCAAAATTGACGTCATCTGCGGTGTCACCCTGAATCACTCGGAGGGAAGATTTAAAAAACGATAGCCTGAAACTCGGCAGCTGTGTTTGGTCATCGTCGGGGTGGGGCTTAAAATGCCTTTCCGTGTTAAAATGTGTGCGCTACTTGAGAGGTGTAAGCAGGAGTACTCGAGTGCGATATCGGGAGAGCTGAAGCACGGCGAGACGAGAGAGAGGAAGTCGAGACTCAAAAAAGGTCTTTCACAACCATAGGGATGCGCTGACATCTTAGACACATGACAGCAAGGACTGGGTGGACCCGACGCAGAAAGTGGATCGAGGCAGCCAGCACTATACGTGACAGACGGCCATCGTCCCAAAAAAGTCGCCGACCTACCTCCGATCCACTCTCCCCCAACCTCCACCACACCAAAAACCCAAGCTGACATTCACTGACCTCGTGAGACCCGGACGAGCAGGAGCAAGACGGACAAGACCCTCATGGTCTCAGTTTCGCCTTCCCGGTCTTCCCCCACCGCCAGCGGAGAGAGGCGATGCGAAATGAAGCGGTGGATCGACACGACCAGAGGAATGGGTTTCTTGGAGTCTTCGTATCGACTCCCGAAAGTCTTATCGGGTCAACGCCATCATCATCATCACCCATCGGCACCAACCATCGGTCTCGTTTCCTTCTCCCCCCCCCTCCACAAATTGGACGAAAATCCACAAGAACAAGGAACGAAAATGGAATGAGAGGCGATTTCGTCCATCGATCCCCTCGACGAGGCGAGTCGGTTCGTCGAGTTCGGCTGTCGATCTGAGGATATCGATCTGAATCGCCGCAAACATTATTTCTTGGTTAAGGGTTTTTATGGCTCCTTTTATCAAGAAAGGTGGCGCAGTTTCTAGTATGATGATATTATCGATATACCACATATCATTGATATAATATTGTATTTCCTTTATTATACTTCTATCCATCCGTAGCGCTTCTGTGCTAGTTATATATATATTTTTTTTTTCCACAAATATTTAATTTAGGTTAATTATCCTCGCACAGCACAAATATATCCCTAAGATATCCGAGAGATATCCCCTTGGTACAATTGAGAGGTCCCAGAGATGACTTCTAGGGACATCTTAGGGATGTCAAAATGTCTGGGCGCAACGACATCTCAAGGATGTCCCTTTCATGAAGAAATAGCACATCCCAGAGATGTCCCAGGGATATCCCCTTGGGACAAACCCCGGACATTACTTGTGGGGACATCTCAGGGATATCATAATGTCTGGTCGTAAAGACATCCCAAGTATCAATATATCCGAAGGATGTCCCAGAGATATCGTCTAGGGACAAGTGAGAAGTCCCAGGTAGTACTAGCAGGCGCCTTCTTATCCGCAATGGACTCATTTCCTATCGCACAGGAGAACCCATTACTATGGAAAATGTCTCTATTTGATGTAGGAACACTTAATCGTAAGTTCTTCACCAATGAAGAGTTATGGTTATGGGTGAGGAAAATCCTGTTCCTGAAAGCCCCCATCACAGGAGACACATCTCTAGGGGACGAAAATGAGCACCTTTCCACGAGGGATCATGGACGAGATTGATTTAATCTTACGCCTTTTAAAAGTATGGGCTCAGGTTTCCAACCAAGATCCAGAGATGCGGATCAGAAATCATTAAATAGAATATAGCGGGATAAATTAAAATTCGGACCGCAATTTTTTCACTTTCCCTAGTGGCAGTATTCCTGATGTACGGTACGAAAATCCTTACTTATCCTCAGGACAAATCAAGTAGATAAATTTGATAGGAAAGATCTGAGGTTGCAGATCAGGGCTCACGGGAGACATCTACCGTCGAAAGTATGCACCTGACTGAATGTGACAAAGAGCACTGAAGATCCCTAAAGACATCCCTGAGATGTCCAGAAGACATTCTCCTCAACATATCCAGAAGCATTCGTCTGAAGATGTCTTCAAGATATGCCCTCCAGGATATCGAGAAGCATTCGACTTTGGATGTCTTAAGGATATCCCGAAAGGGATATCTCTAAAATACCGACAGAAATCTAAAAGACGGCACTTAGATGCCCCGAATACATCCCTTACGAGATGTCCGAAACTATTCGAAAGAATATGTCTTCAGGATCTCCTATAAAGACCATGGGATGAGTCGGGACATCCCTGAGATATCACTGTGCTGTATGGGTCGTGCGATTCTTTCTCAACGAGCAATACTTTCTCCCAACATTTTCACAATATTACATTCTAATCAGTGACTAAAGAAAGTGTCACATTCATCAGTGCAAACTTACCTTGTAGCATTACAACAATCCCACCAGAAGACAAAAGGAACCTAGGCAGGATCTGCTGAAAAGGTTTCTTCTTTTTCTTTTAAATTAAGTTTAAAACTTTTACCAACGGGAAAATAAAAAATGAGTCGCCAAAGCTTTTTGGACCTCGTGTTCACGGTGAATAAAGCGTTTCAGTTCAAGCACGAATTCATCAGTCTTTCTCAATTTCTGGCTTTCCCGAATTTGGTGGTAGCGGTCGGTTGTACTAATGAATATTTGGCTTTCGGCTCTTGACCACTTGGCGAGACTGGATCCGAGAATCAGCAGGAAAATGGTTGAAGAAATCGGCAACGCCAGCAAATGGCAAGTAGAATCTCTCAATTTTCATGGCAAATGTTCACTCGACGGTTCCAGCGATGTAAAAAAGCGCGAAAACTTCGTCTGATGAAAGCGCAACAGGGACCAGTGCCAAAAATTCGCACGTGCAAAATAGACCAATTTGCAATATCTCCATCTTTCCCCTTCTCAAAGTCATCTCAAGGTTATGCCCCTCCCCCCGATAAAACCGGGAAATGCAGTTATCCTCAATAAAAATGCGGTGTCGACAAACTTCAAAGAACCTTAGAAGGTTTCAATATGTGCCTTCTCTTTCCATGACTCACAAGCGGAAGTTATGGAGTGGATCAGTATTTTCCATCCCCGTGTATTTCCTCCATTTGTCAGATAAGGGAGATAACGTTTCATTTCGTCTGCGTACACACTTTGCGAAAGGGAGTATTTCATTTCCAGTTCTACCACACGAGTTAATATGGAACTCAAGTTAGTCACAATTCTCCTATAAAATCTATAAGATATGCAATGAAATTATCTCAGTTTTTCTTCATTTCTAGTATTATTTTCTTTCTCCTTATTATATCTATTTATGCTTAATTTGACTCCAAACCTGTTATATCTTGGGATTTTCCAGAATTTCTCATCGTTCTTCGCCGTCGAACCACAGAATCCTCCCTTTGCTCTTCTTGCTGATCCTCGTGGACGCAGCGCCAAAGCAGGCCCCAGAAAACCGTAAGCCCTTCCCCCCATTAAGCTCCACTCTTTGAGAGATCCGCAACGGCTGATGACCGCGCGCTCGCTGCACCAGGTCCTGAGACGACACGGATCGAGACGAGATGGACGCCGCTGAAGGGAGGGCCGGCGAGGAATCTCCCCTCCCCGTTCCCGCAGGACCCCAGTTTCTTTTCCTTCAAGAACCCGAGCCCGAAACGCGGGTCGAATGTGGAGAAACCCATCACCGAGTCCCCGCAAGAGAGGACTCTCTGCACCACTCTGGAATGCTTACAAGCCGGTCTGTATGACACATACGTATGAAACACGACTCAATAAATAACTTCCACAGGATGAAGGGGAATGCTACATTCAATGTGATACGACTGCACGTTCATGGAATATAACCTCCATATTTATATTAATTTATAAGAAAATCGGATATTATTGTCTAAATTGTCTAAATTTGGACATATCAGCGTTGCAATTGCACTCGAACGCGACCACCTTAGGTTTCAATTGTTCGTTTCTCTTAGTGAGAAGCGTGCAATACAATACAAAAATGTGGGAATACATCGTACTCTAATTCGCATGCGAACTTGGATAGGACCACCTTGAACCTTCCCAGTTTTGCGCAGCTGCATTCTCATTTTTCACCTCTGAAAAACTCAATGAACTGCATAAGTGCTTTGCCACAAGTTTTTTCCCTTAGCCATGGCAGCTGAATCTTTTTTACTTTTGGCTCTCGTGCTTATATTTAGAGCATATTTGTTCGGAAAGTTAAGCTTGATTGATTACATATTTCCCTCCTGTCGGACGTATTCGGGTTGTCGCAGCCGTGGAACTATTAGAATCGATGAATCTGACCGCGGACCCCTGCGAGGACTTCTACGCTTACACCTGCGGGAACTGGATCGAGGAGCATCCCATCCCGCCGACCTCCAACCAAATGACCGTCTTCCACTCGCTCTGGGGAAACATGAACGAGAGGATCCTCGGTCTGCCTCGCTCCATCGCGCTTCCCGCCTCTGACGATTCTCGCGTTCCTCGACAGTCTTTTCTCTCGACAGGCATCCTGAGCGCGGATCTCTCGGCGGAAGACACCGAGGCTGTGCAGGAGGCGAAGATCGCGTACGCCGCTTGTGCCGACACCGGTAGGTACCTAGGTAAAAAATGAACAGGACGGTCGAAGAGAAAGTAAAGTAAAAACAGCAAAAGAATGAAACGGAAGGAAGAACATATGAAAATTATGGTGGACTCTTGTTCCCAGATGTAACAAAAATACTCTACGTTCAGCTGATTTTCGTTAAAAAACCTGTCTCTTGCTATCTTGTATTTTTCAGAACTAGCAAAATCTTAATTGAATGAAAGTTTTTTATTTCTATTTTTTTAAAACCATGTTTCCGTTGCGTATAGCATAGAGCCCTTAATTCCTGTGTGACCATCCGATACAGCAACTTTGGAGTCGCAGGGACTGACCCCCCTCACCTCGTTCATGGCGCGCTACGGCGGCTGGCCGATGACCATGGACGATTGGAAGGAGGAGGACTTCGACTGGCAGGAGACGACGGCCGCCTGGGTCAGGGAAGCCTCGCTTAGCACGTTCATCACGGTCTCCGTGTTGCCTGATATGATGGACACCAACAAGAACGTTCTTTATGTGAGTTGGGAGGTTTTTCGCTTTTCGTGAGATTTTTTGGGCTGCGCCACGTTTCACGCAAATTTAGAGATTGCTTTTTTTCCCCCTTGCCATTTGCGATTTGACTCGTTCCAGCCCAAGCGCAGTGGCGGATCCAGCAATTTTGTTTGGTTTCGAGCTTCAGCTTCCGAAGCTCCGAAGCTTCAAGCTTCGGATTTGAGAAAAAAAAAAAGAATCCGGATGAGTCCATTCTGAACATTTAAACTCTCGTTTCGGGATCCCCTCAGTTGCAGAAGTCGAGCCTGTCCCTCTCCGCCCGGGACCTGTACCTCGACCGCTCGCCCTCGCCGATCGTGGACGCCTACCTCGACCTGATGAACGGGACGGCGAGGCTGGTCAGGGACTCGCTCGGCTCCGACGTCGCGGATGCCACCATTGGCTGGGAGATTTTGGAGGTCTTCCTCTTCGAGTTCGACCTCGCGCGGGTATTTTCCCTTCATCTCCTCGCTTCTTTGCTTCTACGATGGCGAGTCTGCTTTAAATCCTCTCTGAGGCCGGTCGATGAGAAATTACGCTTCCGCTATCGCGTGTCCGATGGGGTCTTCGCGATTTTTAACGGAGTGAGGCTGGGATGATCAGAATCCGAGAATTAAGGCTGACCGCAAACCTTCCCGAAGCTGTAAAACTGCCCACAGCAGGCTTGCCATCTGCAGGGGTCAAGTCACTTAACATACCTTAACATACCCAGACCCGACGCGAGCAATTACTTCACTCGATTACTTCACTCCATTACTTCACTCGATTCACGATTAACAATGTGGTTCGGATCCACCGACTGGAATGGAATTCACCGAATGAAAATTTCCAGACGAAACCTCTGTGCCCGTAGATGATGCTGATGGACATGGTGAATGGCACGGAGCCGTACCACAAACTGACCCTGGCGGAACTTCAGCAGGTCACTGACGCCGTCGCTCCGGGTTATGTGAGTCTCCCTTGCCTCTTAACGGCCGTAGTATATATTTTTTTACTATATTTTCTTTTACAATTTTTTTTTAATGTGCTTGAGCACAGCGAGAGCAGGAGATGCAATATTTTTTCTTATTTTTTTTTTTGCTTTCACTCTAAAATATTTTTCTGGAGCTGGCGATGCTTCGTTTCGCGAGACGGCGAGACTAGTATTGAATTCGACACCGTCCCGTTCTCGATACGGTTCCGATTCTGAACCATTTCCGTAACGCGAAGATTTTGGCTCGATGACGTTCGGGACCGATTTCCGGCATCGGCGAGCGAATCCCAGCGACGAACGCGAACTTCGGAGCGGAAGAGTTCTGGGCTCCAGATCTTTTCGCCTAACTTCAAAGTCCGATTGGGTCAGATCCGGATCTGGTACCATCTTATATATATATATATATATATATATAGATTGAATTAAAGTAAAACAGTGATGCCTTTCCTAGCAATAGCCACCCAAGGTAACAGGCAAGCTATGACCGGCTCCTAGCCCAGAAGAAGAGGACATATATGTACATACATATTCAATGTAGTCACCTTTTAACTCAACACACTTATTCCACTTTGATTCCAAGACCTCTGAAATCCCCAGTTCATGAGCTAAAACAGAGACTTTGGTGCGACGATCCTCCGGTATCGCACTCTCCAATTTGTCACACATTTCCCGATCAGAAGTCTCCACAGGGCGCCCCGACCTTGGGTCATCTTCGATCGACTCTCTTCCCCACTTAAACTACTTGCTCCAAAATGTAACTTGGTAATAAGAAGGCCAAGACACACCATAAACGTTAGACACACGTTCATGAATCTCCTTAGGTGCTTTCTCTTCTTTGGTGAGGAATTTCATCACCGAGCGATGTTCAACTTTCGTCAAATCCACGACACAGACTCAGGAAAAGAAATCTAATGCGCTACCACTTTGAACGGACTCGAGCCACTGAGCTGATATAGTGGTGGGGCACTCACGAGACCCGTCGATACATGTCACAGCAGGCACAGGCCGGTTGCTCATCCCTTTCATATTCAGGTAGATAACTTATTGAGTGGCCCTCGTATATTTCATTTCTGGAGGCCCACTCCCCACACACGACCTTGCCAAAAGCCCACCAATGGAACCGCACGTGACCATTGTGCTCACCTGTCACTTAAGAGTAATGGCCATGCCATCATGTCATGCCATCACGTCATGCCATCACGTCATGCCATCACGTCATGCCATCACGTCATGCCATCACGTCATGCCATCACGTCATGCCATCATGTCATGCCATCATGTCATGACATCATGTCATGCCATCATGCCATGTCATCATGCCATGCCATCACGGCATAACGTCAACCAACGTTCTAGACCAGTGACGAGAAACCCGCGGCTCATGGGGCTTTGCCAACTGCATTTTCCCCCCTGTCATTTGCCATCCGGAGTAGAGCGCACGTTCGATCACGTTGCCCACTGCAGGAGAAACGGAAGCAAGAAATAAAAAATAAAAAATAAAAACTATATTTCCGCCACAGCTGCAAATATCCCTTCACTCCCTTCTTAGTGTATCACTGCTCTCTGAGGTATTTTGGTATTTTGCCCAGTGAGAAGGTGAAAAAAATTATGAATTAGTTAATTGCATATCGATAGCATCTACTATTTTAGTACCTGGTAATAGGATTATTTTGGTAATCAGCAGGCATAAAGCCTGTAATTCAGTAAAAAAATAATAATAATACATGCGGCCCGCCGGGAACCTAAAAGGTTCACTCGGTGACAGATTCCTACGTGACGTCACTCGAAGTTAGCCATCTCTTAGATGCAAAAGTGATGGTTAGATGCCAAAAGTCGAAAATGACGTTCGTAGGATTTCATTGTAGTTTTAAAAAAAAATGTAAACTCCTTTCAGATGACCTGGACGACGTTCCTGACCTCGTTGTTCAGGGGCACGAGAGTGACCTGGGACGGCAGCGACGAGGTCGTCTGCCCCTCGCCGGACTTCATGGCCCGCCTGGTCGGCCTCCTCGCGGCGACCCGACCGAGGACGATCGGTGAGGGGACCCACGCCTCAAAAATCACTTTGGTCGAGCCGGTTTGTATGGGGTAAAACTTGTTACCTGTCGAATTGGGCTTTTTTTTTTAATATGCGCGATTCGATGGGGAGGAGGAGATGTCCACGATTTTGTTCCATTGATTATCCGATTGCAGTCGATCCGTTTGAATCCATTTGAATTTGGGCGTCGTCACAGCGTCTCAAATCCTTTGATTTTGCCGACTCGAGGACTCGGGTCTTTCGTTCCGGCGTCTTTCTGATCGACGATCCGCGAATACGTTTTTTCGTTCAGCGAACTATCTGCACTGGCGGCTGGTGTATTCGCTGGGGGACGAGACGAACCAGGCCATGCGGGATCTCTTCTTCCGGTTCTCGATGATCACGACCGGAATCGGCAAGCCCCCAGAGAGGTACGGGCTGGGCATTTTAACCTGGCTCTCGTGAGTCTGAGACCGAGGTGCTGTTGAGACTGACATGCTGATGCATAGGGAGTACGAGTGTGCGGGACTGGTGAACAATCACATGGGAATGGCCATCGGGAGCGTCTACGTCTCCGACGTCTTCCCGCCCACCGCCAAGCAAGAGGTGAGACAGAAGGAACAGGGGAACAGAGGGGCGGGGGAACAGGGGGGCAGGGGAACAGGGGAACAGGCTGTCCATCGTCGACAAAAGAAAATGAATTTTTGCCAACTGTGAAATTCCATGAGAAAAGTAAGAATGGCGTATTATAGCTCTCGGACATTGAATGGGTCTGGATGTTGAGATTCTTAATCCCGATCAAGGATGGTTCGATTCGAATGACTTATCCCTGACAAGGTAAAAGCCGCAATTTTTTTTTTACAAGGTCATTTATTGAAATGGATGGGGTTATGTGGGTCTAAAACTACATTCCCGAAACATACCCTTTAGAACATGAATTTGAGAAACCAAACTTGGGATGACCAATTTCAGTTGAAGGGTTCCTAGGACGAAGGGGAAGTTTTCTAGGCGATGGTCAAGTGAGAGGGAGAAGAGCGGCTGTTCGTCTCTTCTGGCTTCTTTGCCTTTTTGCATATGAAGATTTAAGGGCCATGAGGTATGCACATTTTTTATTTGCCATTCCCATACGTTCTGTGGGGAAATGGCAGATAATGCGATCGGTCGGTCACTTTTTTTCATTTCGTCTGCCTGTAGTAACCATAGCGACCGGACAACACGACTCACCGCGCATGTGCAGCTTCCCCCTGGGTCGGGGTGCCCGTCTTCCGCTAAAACATCCACTTCCCTTCCAGTCCTCGCGGTTGACGGATCCATAGTAGACAATGGAGGAGAGCAGCTGTTTCTGGCCGCGTAGACAGGGTTGCGTGGCGTATGCGTGAAATGTCGCATCTGGCATCCTACTCTTCATACTCTCCTCCCATCTCCACGCGTTGCGGACGCGCGGAACATCGAAAACGCGTCTCGATTGGACTTTTTCACTGGGACTTTTTCATACAGGCCTATGCCGTACCAATGAAAGTTGTTATTTATTTCAAAGTTGGACGGTTGGGATGCGGAGAAGAGGATATTTCCAGTGGTACAGGGACAATTGGAATGCCAGATCGGTACCTGGACTGGCACTCTCTCTAGTTGTCAGTTTCGAAGCTTATCACGAAGGATAGTGCGATCCAGGCATATCACTCCAGGTATATCGTATGTGGCAGACTGTCTACAATTACATGGTTTCCCACGCCCACGCGAGCAATCATGGGATATATATATTTTTTGGAACTACGCTTGTGACTTATGAAAAAAAGTAATTGTGGACTCCAAATCTCAATTGCAGTGATGAGGTCGTTCGTTTGCAGGTGGAGCTGCTGGTGGAGGACTTGAGGGCGGCGTTCGACGGGATCCTGGACCAGATCGACTGGATGGACGCGGCGACGCGGGAGAATGCGAGGAAAAAGAACGATGCCATTCGGGCCTTCGTCGGATACCCCGATTTCATCCTCGATCCTCAGGCCCTCGCCGATTATTATTTTGGGGTTTGTTCCGTTTTTGGCTCCACTCGGCGGGATTCTTTGACCGGGCCGACCGGCAGCGAGAACCGGTCAGAAAAGGACATGGTTTCATTCCTCATTATCCGATGCCTTCGTGCGGATTTAAGGGAATTGAAAGAAAGAAGAAGAGTAGGAAAAAAGAAACATCAAAAGCTGATCAAATTTCCTAATCTGTTCCGAAACGTGAGATGGGCACAGAAGTCTCGTTGACGACGAAATACGGACCAAAGACAGAGCCATTTCCGTAAACAGCAATCTTGGAAAGAAGGAAGAGAAAGGATGTGGGGGGTTTTCACCATTCTACTGTCTTACTGAAGGGCTGCAGACAAACGTTCGGAACACCAGAAACAGGGGGGGGAAATGAGATCCGAAATATATTAACATGAACGATTTAAAAAAAAAATTCGAGTCAACATTCGCTCTTAATGATCATTTCGATAGAATATGCACGGATTAATTTGTTTTTGGAGGCGACCTCGCGATGAAGGGCTTCATTGAGGATTTATGCTCTCTCGAAATAAATCATATCTGGTTCTCATTCAGCAAATTGCCTTGAATTATTATCACTAATTAACTTTATTAATTGCCCATTAAAAAGCGAAATTTCGAGGCATAAATCGAGGCACGAGTCGGTAATGGAACCGAACTTTTTTCATCTTCCGATCCGCCGTTTTTCCCTCGCAGATCTCGATGAACAGGAGCGGCCACCTTTCGAACGTCCTGAGCATGCTCGCCTGGGAGTGGAGCCACCAGGCTGCCGGCGTGAACAAGCCAGTGGACCGGGACGCCTGGATCACTCACCCGACCGTCGTGAATGCCTTTTACTATTCCCCCTTGAACTCCATCACCATCCCGGCGGGGATCCTGCAGAGTCCGTTCTATCAGAAAGGGAGGCTCGCGGCCATGAACTACGGCGGGATCGGGATGGTCATCGGGCACGAGATCACGCACGGGTGAGTGAGTGGGGGGTGGAGGGTGTCTGCGAACGACAGAAGAGAAGTTTTTCTTTGTGCAATTAGGAAACGCGAAAAAGTAAAAAGTAACAAGAGAAAAAGTATAATTTCCTTGAATTTGTATTACAACGCATCCTAAATCGCCACAGGGACCAGTCTCGACCGGGGCAATAGAGCGTTCTGGGTCGGTAGGACTTAGAATGCTCTGCGATGAATGTCACGAGTTTCGGTATTTCTGTTCTGGTTGCCGAGACAATCAAAATGTAAGCGTCAACGTTCGTAGATGATGAGCGAGGGAAAAATATATACGGAAATGGATGTCTAAAGGGAGATGAAGACCTTGCAAAAACACCGGCCAGAAAGAACATTGACATCAACATTCATAAAGGGTTGATATTTTTTCAATTGTATATAAATAGAAAAATCTGAGGATATGTGAGGAGATAATGAGGATATAAATCCGGGGATGATGCTAGACATGTAATTCCTCTGCTGGACAGAAAGAGTTGCGTCGCTCAAGTACCTCAACTCGAATTCTGATCCAGTAAAAGAAAAGCAACCTCAATATGACTCCACCGAGTTGATAGAACTCAATAGAGTACAATCATTCCACGTGGAGATCCCTCCCTGGGATGACAGTACTTAATGGAGGATCTTAATATTAATATTAATTTTAATGGGTACTCTATTATACATCCAATCTCATCATCCAATCGATATTAGTGCATATCAACCTTTGCTCAATGCTGACACAACGTTTGCTGTGCCGAATGAGTTCTCATGCGGAACGAGCTGGTCGAAGGTGGGCCCTCGAGTTTCGCAGCGCTTTGAGCAATCGTGCACAATTTGCTCCATTAACTTGTAAATATTTCTAGATTCGATAATTCGGGGCGCCTATTCGACGACCGTGGGAACCTCGTCAACTGGTGGACGGAAGCGACGACGGATGCTTTCTTGGAGAGGGCCATGTGCTTTGTCGAACAATATGACAGCTACAAGGTCCCCGAACTCTCGGAATTCCTGGAAGGTATCTGCTTAAGCGAAAGTCCATTTCTTCCTTTTCCTTCTGTATTGACATTTCCATTTTATTCTCGTTTCCAAATGAGTCGTGAACTCTCGCACTCCCGCCACTTAAACTCTTTTGTGTAATTAACAAGATTATTCTTCGATTCTTCGTTTTTGCACTGGATTTTTTACACGTGGCAGACCCACACGTGAACGGACAGTTGACTCTGGGAGAGAACATCGCCGACAACGGAGGAATGGGAGAGGCCTGGTTCGCTTACCTCAAATACATCGGCCGGAACGGAGCGGAACCCTCCCTCCCTGGTCTCGACCTCACACCTCAGCAGCTCGTCTTCGTCACCGTCGCCTATGTATGAGGATTTCTCACATTTTCCAAACGCGTCGTACTTCGCTTATTCATGCAAATTTTCTCTCTTCTCTTAAGAACTGGTGCGGTCACAGCAAGAAGGAGTTTCTGCTGAACCAGATTCAGAACGATCCGCACAGTCCTGCCAAGTTCAGAGTCTACGGGACCCTGAGCAACAACGCCGCCTTCGCTGAAGCCTTCGGGTGCAAGGCCGACGAGCCTATGTTCAACGGAGACGATAGCTGCGTCATGTGGTAGGTGTCATGCTACTTGTCCAATCGTGATCAATTGAACTCCTAAGCGGTGTTACATTTCCTCTTGGAATGTGATTCTTTACAGGGGGTCAGACAAAAAATCTGCTGGGTCGTTGCATTCCTCTATGCACTGGAGTTTTTACGGCTTTTCTCTGGGGTTGCTACTGCTATTTGGACATCGGAATTTTCTCTGAATTCTTCCTCTTTTATCCAGTCTGTTTATGATGTTATTCCATGACCGCTTTAATCATGAAAGCATGATGTTCCTGGCATTAGTCTTATCAGTCACTTCCCACAGCTCACTACCTCAAGGATGTAAGTGTGTAACGTTACAGGGTGTAACTTAAGTCAGCCATCACAGGACTAGCATAGCATCATTAACTACCTTGACTGTTTCGAATTCATATGCTAACTTGAATTGATACTCCTGTCAAAGTTATGTCAATAAAAAGAAACTCGTTCAAGTGTTCCGCGCTGGCCCAAATTGACTGATTGGCTTAATTTGAGACTAGTTAATTTGGGAACTAAAGATAACGCCTTTTCATGTCATTTAAATTTTCGATTTCGTGCGGAAGTCTAGCCGATTTTCTTAATAGTTAGACACCTGTGGCTAGTAGGTGAGTTATTTTTTAGAGTTAATTTCGATTAATTTTACGATAATTAAGTTCAAGGCAATGGGCAAATTGGGGTTAGTCCAATCATTATTCTGAAATTGTTGGAATTGGTATACTGTATTTAGGTCATTCTGAGTCACTTCGAATCAAAGTTGGTGCAATTAGGGTCAATTAGGGTCAGTTAAGGTTGCTAGGACTGGTCTCTAAAAGATAACTTCAGCTGCGTCAATTCAGTTTCAATCATGTGGGTTCCAAACTGTCCGGAAAATAAATTACCACTAAGATATTGTCCTGAATCCTGGCTTGTGTCACACCCCGTAGGGTAACTTGGGGTAATATGGGCCTTCACAAGGAATCCCATAGCAGGCTGAAGAATTAGTTTGGGTGTATTTAAAAAATAGTTCTATCAAAGAGTACATACTATTGTCGAAACGTTTAGACTTGTTCATTTATCCAGTTCTCCCTGTAATTCGGGATACGTCGATGTCTTGAGAGTCATATGCATGCGATTCTTCAAGGCATGACCCTGAAGTTAAAATGAGCCTCGAGCAACTTAAACGCGTATTTCCTATCAGCAACATGGATGCAGAAACCATTTCTTAAATGTTATTCAATGATTCCTCTAGAATTATTATGGAAAGTGCTAATTCCTTCACTTGCGGTTTGCAGACAGTGTTATCAATTTTGTCGTGAAGTCTATATGGGGTATTTAAAGAGATATTAAATTTTGACATCCGGTATGTGAAACCGGATTTTTGTGAAACTTGGATTCTGAGAGTACTTTTATGAACCTAGTTTTAGAGGATGAGGTACTGGAATTTTTTAAAAATGACTTTCGTACGACACCATGAAGAAGACATGGGAAGGGGCTCAGAACAGGACCCTCGAATCAATGGGCCACTTACGTCAAGTGTGCGATAAATTGCGTCACGCTGCCAGTTTCGTCTTTGACGGGCCCTTGAAACGTAAGCGAGCGGCCCAGCATCTTCGTGCCGCCAAGGAGCCAGGGAATAAAGGTCCTTCAGTGGGCCATCTGGCTACAACTGCGACATGAAGGATTGAGTTTGAGAATCGAGAGAGCAGGAGATGTAAAACAGGTGATTCTTTTTTATTTTTTATTTTATTTTTCTCTCGCTTCGAAATTTTCGTTCTGGGACCGGCTCTTGAGAGCGTGAGACTCGCGCTGCAATCGACATCGTCTGCACTTTATGTTTGCCAGGTCATCATCCCCGAAACTGAAAGGGAAAATCCAGCCAATCCAACTGCGAAAACTCACTTTTGGTTGAAGTGGAATTCAACTCCGTCTTGGAAATTTTTTATTTTTAATCATCGGTACTGTACATTGAAAATATTCCCACCCCATTCCCAAGAACATCAGACTTTTTGCACATTATGTCGTCCCGTATCAAGATGAAGCGTTTAAATCAGATAGGACATTTCAGGAGGAGCATATAAACTACTGCTTTGATAGGAATATACATACTTGAAGAATAAACAGAAATATAAATATTAGAACGAATTAGACTTTAATTTCGAGATTTTGTTGGGAACGTACCCAGGAAATCAAGGAATGCTGGGCATAACCTCGCGGTATAAAAAAAAAACGTGTTGAAGATCTCCTCCGAGCCACTAGATGGAGTTGTGGTCTCGCCGAGTGATGCACAAAAAGTGCCCTTTCCTCTTTCCCTGGAATCGTCCTCTCACGGGAGTGTAAAGTACTTCATGATATGTCTCGCCTAGTCTTTTCTTTCGTGGGAATCAATGAATGCGGACACTTTTGTTTTCCACATGTTCGGGACGGATTCGTGAAGCACAGGCCGAAAATACGCTCGTATATTCGTAAAAAGGAACGGTCAAAAGGAGACACGATTCAACTCCAGCAATATCTTCCGTTAGGATAGCTGACAAATACTTGAAATGTGGAAAGACATAACAATGAGTCACAGATTAAAGTTTGAAAATCTCAAGCTCCAAATTTACAAGGTAACAATACAGCAAGAGAGCGAAAGAAACCTTTGGAATGACCGACGTCTGGAAGTCCCGGAATTACTGGGGATCCTGAAATTTATTAACGAACGGCATGTCGACTCAGGGAGAGAACACAGCCGACAACGGAGGAATGGGAGAGGCCTGGATCGCTCAAGTCAATTACATCGACCGGAACGGAAGGGAACCCTCCCTCCCTGGCGTCGAGTTCTTCGCGCCTCGATTTTGTCACCTTTGCTTACGTAACTTCCCCTTTTTCTGCTAAGGGTTCTTATCGGGAATGGGTCATTCCATGTCAGATCCGCCAGAGATTTTGTTCAACCATCAGCGATTTGGCTGAAATTTGGCGAGAAGGTAGCATTTGGTTCAAAAGCGGGAATTGCAATATATATGTATATATATATTTTTTTTCGGACCGAAAGTGTGTGAAAGATGTGACCTTCCTACGGAAGGTCACATATTTTGACCTATTTTATTCGATCAGGCTGACCTCTATTCTCTAAATAGAGAAGGAATTCCCTGAAAGGACAATGACATGTCCACCTCTTCATGTCCTATGGAGTATCTGCGAATTGGATCCTTCATTTCTTTCGTCCTGCCCTCGGGACGAGGAAACGAGGCGATTGTGACTCTCCATCGATGTTGTGAAGCTCGTGTTGGATTAGTTCCCGCTGTTTCTGCTAGGGTTTCTTATCGGAAGCTTGTTTATGGCCTGGGGTCCATGAATCTGTCTCGAATGCCGGGATAATAAATAAAAGTGTCTTCGCCTGTTGTACCCGGTATCAAAGCGGGGAGCTCTCGTCCGAAAGGAGTTTTAGGACATCGATGGCATCCGCAAACTCAATCCACGTTTTCTTCATCCTGAGGGGAGGATCGAGGAAACGAAGGAGCGATTTCGTGGTCCTTCCTCTTGAACGTATTACAATAGGTAGATCCATGAGGAGATCAACTCCTGAATTGTACTGTCATCTGCATATCCAAAGTACAAACGAGTTGTGCGATGGCAGGGAATTATTCCAGAAGCAGCTCCCGTAGGGTGGATCTGAATGTCTGCTGAATGGGTAATGAATTTAAGTATATGGACTGCTGCCGCCTGAATCCGAGAGGCCTCGCTAGACGCGCTCGTCTCGGTCTTCGTGATGCCTCGTGACATGAACACCGATAGGAACGTTCTTCGCGTTCCGGAACGTTTTGAGCCTGTCACGCTTGTGGTGGAGGCGTCAAACGAATGGCCTGAAAGACCTGGTGGAACGGGACGCCTGGATCATCCACCCGACCATCGTGAACGCCTTCTACTACCCCCTCGTGAACTCCATCACCATCCCGGCGGGGATCCTGCAAGGGAGACTCGCAGCCATGGACCACGGCGGGATCATCGGGCACGAGATCACGCACGGATGAGTGGGGCACGGGTGGCAGAGAAGGCACCAAGACGCATTCAAGTATATGCCGAACTGGAAAGAAAAAGATTACACGTAAGGAAGTATAAATGCTACGGCCGCTTTGCAGCTGCCTTCTGGCATTTCCACAACGAAAGTCTCCAGATGCACTTCCTCATTGCGTGAATGCACTTAATCTCACCGTCAAGATTTTTCGTTAGGGTCTAAAGACTGACAGATCTCCTTCCCAAGAATCAACAGTAAGGGCGGCGGTATTGCGCGAATCGGTGATGAGAATGAGATTCCGCTGGAAATTCGCCGAACTGCGGCGAAAAAATGATCGGTCGAGCGGCACCCCCGGCTCACACCGGGACCGGCGAATGCAGCGAAGCGTTTCGCTCCTCTCGTTCGGCGATGGATGGTTTCCCTTCATGCAGAAAGCGCTGTCGACGCGGTGTAGATAAATCGCGTCGAGATGCGACAACCAATTATACGATCGTGATATTTTCTTTTTTTTTCATTGCTCCTTCCTAGCGCGGTTGAAACTCATGGAAGACGGGCTTTGTGTCTTTCGGCGATGTATGTCACACTTCCAAGCCTGGATGCGTTATGTTAGCCTTGAAAATGACTTACTTCAACTAAAAGTCGAGAAAGGAAGGAAGAAGAACCTCTCGGAAAGTCGTGCAATGCAATCATATCAATGCGTCATACGCTTCACGCATTCACTGGTATTTACAGGTTCGACGAGATGTGTCGATAATCCGATTCCCATGGGAACCTGGCGAACTGGAGGACGGAGGAGGCGGCCCAGGCTTCTGAGGAAAGGAGTCAGTGTGTCATCGATCAATATAATGGCTATGAAGTCCCAGAATTCTTGGGGTTCCTGAAAGGTATTAAAGTTTCGCAAGGATCCCATGTGAAAATGAAATTTGACGAGTATTTGAATCATTTCCTGACGGATTTTTTTCTTGTGATCATCAACGTATAACTTTTATTTAAAAGTCTTTAATGCGATCATCCTACATTCGGTTACTGCACGTTACAGACGTGAACGGCATGTTGACCCTGGGGAAGAACATAGCCGTCAACGGAGGAATGGGAGAGGCCTGGATCGCTTATATCAATTACATCGACCGGAACGGAACGGAACCCTCCCTCCCTGGTCTCGAGTTCCTCACGCCTCAGCAGCTCGTCTTCGTCACCTTCGCCTACGTGCGAGGATTTCTCGCATCTTTCAATCATGTCGTACTTCGCAAAATCCTTCATACTCCCGCTTTTCTCTTTAGAACTGGTGCGGTCACATCGCTCTGAAGCATCTGCTGGACCAGGTCCTCGACGACAGTCTGACAGTTCAGGCTCCTCGGGACCCCGAGTGACAACGCTGCCTTCGTCGAGGCTTTTGGGTGTAAGGCCAATGAGCCTATGTTTGACGGGAACGACAGCTGCATCATGTGGTAAGTGTCGGGGACATCTCGACGCCCATTTTCGTAAATGCGTTCCATTGCCGCTTGGAATGTGATTTTCTGCAGGGAGTGGAAGTTATCTACTGGGTCGATAACTTCGATCCAGTCTGTGGGCAGTCTTCGACCAAAAATTTCATCGGTCATAGAGTGCTCAAGGCGCGTCCATTGAGCTTGTATTTCATACTCCTGGCGTAAATTTTTATTCAGAGAATAGGCTGCAGTCAGAAGTGTCATATTTTAGCTGTGGTTCTTCAGAAGAGGTTGCCTCCTCGCGCCGTTGAGTGCACCTCGAATACACCAATTAATTGGAGGCATCTGGCCTTCTCGCACTGCTTTTCGACAGGCCAGAAATAAAATTCTCCCCGCGCGGCACCCTCTCCTGCTTATCGGGGGAACACAGGATCCCCTGCTCCTCCGCCGGTCGATCGAAGAAAATTCTTCCCAGGAAATTCCAGATCCATCTTGAGGTCGGGACGGACGTCGCAGCAATGCAGGAAGAGTCGCCAGGGTTGTCAATCGGTCTGAGTACGATTAGAAGAATTGCTTGAGGATTTACGTGGGGCGATCAAAAAGTTCTAAGCTTTAGGTATTTTCAATTGCAATGCAGAATTTTTACTTTCATCGCGAGAAGGCAGATGTCTTTGATGGTGACAGGCAAAATATCGTCATATTTCGGATAAGTCAACACTGTCGTCCGAGTTTTTTCCATTCCTCATCACAAGGCCAATCGAGATAACTCGGGCGCGGACCCCAAAGGGTTAAAGACAGCTTCTATGATTTTTTTTTCGTTGTGTTACCATGGGGTCCGTTGAAAGGGGCATAAAAAGTGACTTGCATCCTGTGATGAATTTTTTGTCTTCTAGGGAGTCGATCTCCCAGCAGATCTATATGCAACTATGAGGATAGAGTCCCGCAGATACTTCTACGAAAGGCTGGTGGAACTCACCTGGCAAGCGTTCCTTTTCCACTAAATTTATGATACAGGAGATATAGCAGTTGCATGCGCTTTAATTCCTCTAAGGACGATAAGGAATGATGGATGATTTGATGATAAGAAGAATACTTCTAAGGCATACGGATTACATACAGGGCCGAAGGCATTTCATCCCTATGACCGCCCGACGAGAAGGCACCGAGATGAACCTCAAGTTAGTCACAAATTTCCTTTTTCGAATCTAACTTGCATTTCACCGACAATTATTTGGTGGCTTTCTCAAAGTTTTCTCTTCGTTATATTTGCTACTAGTGCTGTTTTCCATTAATAATATAGTAATTAAATTAATAATATAGTTTTCGCATTTCACCCGACATTTTTTGTCGGTGACTTATGACTTTCGTAAATCCGTTGGCGGTGGACGTGAACTTTCTTGCGCTTGGCTATGACCTTTCTGGTCGAGATGGTGTGGCCAATAGGGAATAGGGAAATAGGGCTCAAATGAAAATCTGTTTCTATTGGGGTCGGAGAACTTCTCATCAGTCCAAATGGTCTAAAAGCGAATTATCTACATCTGGAAGGTTCGTCGCTGGCATGTGATGTCTTGGGAGCAGTCACAATGCGCTTATGTGAGGAGGACAAAACATGATTTTCTTGAGTGCACTTTTGATAAATCGGGGTTATTGCTTCAGTAAGCCATCCACTTGTTTTGAGATTCCGACTCAGGAAACGAAGTTGGTTGACAAGTACCGAATTTTATCCATCCAGCCTTAATCGTGAGCAACTATTAGATGCTGAATTCGGCAAATGAGGTAAAGTCCGTCCAAATCCTCTTCAGAATTCTCAGTGATTGAAGAAAATTTATTTTTAAAAATCTTTAAAAAAAACTGTGAGGTCTTGTGGTCTTTCTGAAGTTGTCCTTTGTCAAGTCGTCCTTTGTCATTCGTCGACAGCATAGTGAGTCTGCTCTTCTTGTTGGTCCTTGCGGACGCGATGCCAAAGCAGGATCCCAAGAAAGGTAAGTCCTTTCTCCTCTGATGCCCACCCCCACCTTCACTCCATGAGAGATCCTCAACGACTGATGACCGCGCGCTCGCTGCACCAGGTCCCCAGGCGACACGGATGGAGATGAGATCGACGCCGCTGAAGGGAGGGCTGCCGGCGAGGACCCGCACCTCCCCGTTCCCGCAGGACCCCAGTTTCTTTTCCTTCAAGAACCCGAGTCCGAGCCCGAGGTCGAAGGTGAAGAAACCCGTCACCGAGTCTCCGCAGGGGAAGAAACTCTGCACCACGCCGGAATGCTTATTAGCCGGTCTGTATGAAGCATACGGATGAAACACTAGCATGGGCGTTCAATGAATGGCTTCGTCACGGTCATAAGGAATGCAAAATTCAATATCTGAGACATGACAGCATGTTCATTCAATATAAATCCATGAATTTTTTTTTTAATTAGGTCGGATATTTTCGTCTAGGTTTTGAACGTTTCAGCGTTACTCTTAGCGCAACGGAGGCGATCATCAGCGCGGACAGAGGTCCTACAGGTCTCTGCTGGCAGTATCAGTTAGTGGGAAGTGCACATGCGTTCAGTCTAAAAATGTGGAAAGATATCTTCCTGTATTTTGCATGCGATCTAGGTCCGGACCAACTTGGATCACTTCATTGGCAGATTTGCACAGTTGCATTCTCAGGTTTCACCTTTGGAAAGATTGGGAAATGGATAGATGTTCGGGGTAACACATTGCGGGGGGGGGGGGGCATCAGAGGAGAAAGGACTTACCTTTCTTGGGATCCTGCTTTGGCATCGCGTCCGCAAGGACCAACAAGAAGAGCAGACATAGTTGCTCACGATTAAGGCTGGATGGATAAAATTCGGTACTTGTCAACCAACTTCGTTTCCTGAGTCGGAATCTCAAAACAAGTGGATGGCTTACTGAAGCAATAACCCCGATTTATCAAAAGTGCTTCTATTAATATTTTGCGTATATTTATTCAGAAAATAAGTTCAGTTTTATTCGATTTTTCCCTCTTGTCGGACATATTGGGATTGTTGCAGTCGTGGACCTGATGTATGCGATGAATCTTACCGTGGACCCCTGTGAGGATTTCTACGCCTACACCTGCGGGAACTGGATCGAGGAGCATCCCATCCCGCCGACCTCCAACGCGATGACCGTCTTCCACTCGCTCTGGGGAAACATGAACGAGAGGATCCTCGGTCTGCCTCGCTCCATCGCGCTTCCCGCCTCTGACGATTCTCGCGTTCCTCGACCGTCTTTTCTCTCGACAGGCATCCTGAGCGCGGATCCCTCGGCGGACGACAGCGAGGCCGTGCAGAAGGCGAAGACAGCGTACGCCGCTTGTGCCGACACCGGTAGGTACCTAGGTAAAAAAAAATGAACAGGAGGGTGGAAGAGAAAGCAAAGTAAAATGGTAAAGCAGCAAAGAAGGAAAGGAAGATGGGACATTTGAGAAATTATGGTGGACTCTTTTTCCCAGATGAAACAAAAATACTCCGCTATTCAGCTGATTTTTTTTTAAAGCTTTCTTTTGCGATCTGACAATTTTTTTAATTAGAAAATTCTTAATTCAGGAAAAGTTTTTCGATTTTTGAACTATTTTCTGTCGCGTATAGCATAGAGCCTTTAATTCCTGTGTGACGATTCGATCCAGCAACCTTGGAGTCGCAGGGATTGACTCCCCTTACTTCGTTCATGGCGGGCTACGGCGGTTGGCCGATGACCCGGGACGATTGGAAGGAGGAGGACTTCGACTGGCAGGAGACGGTGGCTGCCTGGGTCCGGGAGGCGGCGCTCAACACGCTTATCACGGCCTCCGTGTGGCCTAGTGCAATGGACACGGACAAGAATGTTCTTTATGTGAGTGGGGAGTGTTTTCGTTTTCGTGAGTTTTTGTTGGGGCGCCACGTTTCATGCATATTTGGAGAGAGTTATATTTTCCCTCGCCATTAGCGATTTGATGAGTTTCGCGTACCTGCGCAGGCGTAGAGGCGGATCCATGAATTTGTTTCGTGTCGGATTTCAGTTCCCAGGATCTTAAGCTTCACCCTTCAAATTTGAGAGAAAAAAAAAGAAACATTGTAACCATTTGTGACTCCGGTCATTTCCCCGAGTTAAAGCGTCTCAAAAAAGGAATCCAGACGAGTCCCCGCTCCTCCTGGATCCGCACGCGCCAACGCGGATCCTGAACCTTCAACCACTCGAACCTTTAAGCGAACCTTTAACCGCTCGTTTCCGGATCCCCCTCAGTTGGAGAAGTCGAGCCTGTCCCTCTCCGCCCGGGACCTGTACCTCGACCGCTCGCCCTCGCCGATCGTGGACGCCTACCTCGACCTGATGAACGGGACGGCGAGGCTGGTCAGGGACTCGCTCGGCTCCGACGTCGCGGATGCCTCCATCGACGAGGAGGTGCAGGAAGTGTTCGACTTTGAGAAATCCCTGGCCGAGGTATTTCCCCTTCTTCCTCTCGCTTCTTCGCTTCCTCGGTGGCGAGGAGAAATTGCACTCGAGTTGATTCGGAGTGTTCGCTATTCCGACCCGAGCGAGGTCGAACCACGGGTCGGCCGATGCAGGCCGTGCAGGATCTCGTCGCCGAGCGTTCGTGGGGACCGGGGGACTGCCGCGGTCCACGATGGATCGGGGCAGGGTCTGTCAATTCATGGTCTTCGATTCCAGGATCCAATAGGGTAGCTCAGTATTATTATGGTAGCATTGTGACGAGCGGAGGGGGAGGGGGGGGGGGGGGGGGGAGCTGGGCATAGTCCTTCCACCGTATACCCTTACTGGGTGACACAGGAATCTCCCACAGTTGGAGCTCAAAACAGAAGAAAGGAAAATCAAATTTTCATTTCTTTCGTGAAGCATCAATTTGTTTTCAATTTTCCATGTGCAATACTTTTATTGAAATTTTGCCATTCTTGGGGGTGGGGCGTTGCCCCTTCAATAAAGTAGTTGGGAGGGCACGTGCCCCTTTGCCCCCTGGGTTCGGCGCCTATGACGAGATATGCTGGGTTATTTGCCTCTGCAATAGTTTCGGTGAAAAAAAAATCCATGAGCGGAGGGCTCTAAAACGGGCGACTTGCCGAATCGCTGTTTCTCCCCAACTTTCGATTTGCTGTTTCTCCTAAACTACATTGATTTAATTGATTTCTGAAAATAATTTTTGTCTCTTCGTCTAACCATATATAACCATATTTGCGATTAGCACCGGCCGACGGTCGCCGAATTCACCGAAACGAAAAAAAATTGTCCGCAGATCGTGCGGGCCGACCTGCCGAATCAGACGGAGCCGTTCCCAGAGCTGACCCTGACGGAGCTTCAGGCGGCCACGGACGCCGTCGAGCCGGGATTCGTGAGTTCCCCTTGCCACTTTGCCTTAGAAATTTTTATTTTTTATTTTTTATTTTTTACAAATGCTTGAACATAGAGAAAGAGATTAAATATATTTTTCTTTACATTGTTATTTTTTTTTTGCTTTCACTCTGGAATTTCCTCTGCCTCGCCTGCGAGACGGCGAGACCAGCGCTGAAGTCGACGGCGTCCCGCACCTTAACACTGCGCCGATTCAGCATCCCGCGCCATTTTTAGAGTCCGGCTCGATTGCGTTCCCATCGAGACCCAGTCCCGCAGGAATAAAACGACGATGCTGCGATTCGGGGGCGGCTCCAGATTTTTTTTTTTCGCTTCGCTTCAGAATCCGAATCTGGTCTTCTCTAATTCATTTATTTTTATTCCCGAGTGTGATTCTCACATTTCTTAACTGTCATACAGGCAATATTTTTGTTATTTGAGACCGACATCTCGGCATGTTTGTCTCTCAGTGCGAACTCTGTGCCTCTGCACAGAGGCACAATTACTCCATGTCTCTGCAAATAATTTAACGCCAACTAGCTCGAACTGGAGCCAGGTTTCTCCTGCACTTTCTTCTTGAAAATATTCCACCGAGCAAGCAAGGCAGAGAAGAGAAACTGCCTCGTCTTTGCACTGCACTGCTGGTCGCCGAACACCCGACACTCGACGCCAACTTTTCGCTTTTTTAAATTTTTTTTTACTGATTTTGACAGCGACATGGAATGGCAGGTTCACAATAAAACAAATTGAAAACATCCATCGACACACCAGCCTCCGAAAGCCAAGAAAAGTGCAGCACGACTGACACGTCCTGCCCTCTCATTCCGTCAATATAAAACATATGCCGCAGATCTCTGGTCGCAATGTCACCGATTCCTACGGCGACGCCACTCGAAGTCAACGATAAAAAAAAGCAATGGAAACTCCTTTCAGATGACCTGGACGACGTTCCTGACCTCGTTGTTCGCGGGCACGAGAGCCACCTGGAGCGGCAACGACTCGGTCCTCTGCCCCTCGCCGGACTTCATGCCCCGCCTCGTCGGACTCCTCGCGGCGACCCCGCCGAGGACGATCGGTGAGGGGAAATATTTTAAACGTGCAAAATTTTTATTATTTAAATATGCACTATTTTATTTAAACATGCACAAAAAAGTGGTGAAGGAGATGTCCGCGATTTCGTTCCATTAATTAATTCCGTTAATTCTCCGATTGAAATCGGTCCGTCGCAACACCCTCTTGAATTAGTGCGTCGAATTAGCGTCGCGTCATTTGATTTTGCGGAATCGAGAATTTAGGTCTTTCTGATCGACGATCCGTGGATGTATTTTTTTCCTTCAGCGAACTATCTGCACTGGCGGCTGGTGTATTCGCTGGGGGACGAGACGAACCAGGCCATGCGGGATCTCTTCTTCCGGTTCTCGATGATCACGACCGGGATCACCAAGCCTCCGGAAAGGTACCGGCCGGGCATTTTAATCAGGCTCTCGTGAGCCTGAGACCGACTTTTTGTAATCGAATGATCGTGCATAGGGAGTACGAGTGTGCGGGCATGGTGAACAACCATATGGGAATGGCTATCGGGAGCGTCTACGTCTCCGACGACTTCCCGCCCACCGCCAAGAAAGAGGTGAGAAAGAAGGGGAACGGGGGGGACAGGGGACAGGGGACAGGGGACAGGGGACAGGGGAATGGCTTTGGACGTCGAGGTTCCAAAACCCTGAGGAAGGATTCTTCGATTCGATTTATCGATCCCAAACGAGGTGAAAGCTGCAGGTCTCCATTTTTGCATAGGAAAAGGTCATTCCGGGAAATACGAGGTAGATTAAGGGCAATGCCAATCTAAAATTACAATCCCGTAGGACACCCTTTAAAGCAAGAATTCGGGGAACCAAATTTGGGATGACCGATTCCGGTTGAAGCGTTCCTGGGACGAAGATTTAAGGACGATGGCAGTTGCAGATTTTTGTCATGTTCGATGCTCAGCATGCAGGATGATGCGATCCAGGCATATCGTTCCAGGCATGTTGGGCAGATTGTCTCCAATGATATCATTTCTCATGGAATTCCTTCTTTTAAATGACGCTTGTGATTTATGCGAACGAGATGAGAGGATTCCAGATTGCAGAGATGAGGTCGCTCGTTCGCAGGTGGAGCAGCTCGTGGAGGACCTGAGGGCGGCGTTCGACGGGATCCTGGACGAGATCGACTGGATGGACGCGGCGACGCGGGAGAACGCGAGGAAGAAGAACCGTGCGATCCGGGCCTTCATCGGATACCCCGATTTCATCCTCGATCCTCAGGCCCTCGCCGATTATTATTTTGGGGTTTCATCCGTTTTTGGCTCGGGTCGGTGGGGTTTTTTGACCGGGGGTGAGAAACGGGCTGAAAAAGACTCGGCTTCTGTCCGCATTCGAGCGGATTTCAAGGAAATTGAAAGAGAGAAGGAGAGAAGGGAAATAAAAAACATCAAATGCTGATCGAATTTCCAATGGGCATAAAAGTCTCGTTGATGACGAAACCATGACTACTACAGCGGGAAGCTGGAAGAGAAAGGGAGTGAGGGGTTTTCACTTTCGACCGTCTCACTGAAGGGCCAGAAACGTTCGGGATACCAGAGAATCTTCTTTTCACTCTTTTCACTCTGAGGTGACCTCGCGATGAAGGGCTTCATCTCGGATTCATGCTCTCTCGAAATAAATTAGACCTGGTTTTCATTTTACTAATTGTCTTGAATTACTATCACTAATTGACTTTATTAATTGCCCATTTAAAAGCGAAACTTCGTGGCCTAAATGATACACGAGTCGATAATGGAACCGAGCTTTCCCCCTTTCATCTTCCGATCCGCCGTGTCTCCCTCGCAGATCTCGATGAACAGGAACGGCCACCTGTCGAACGCCCTGAGCATGCTCGGCTGGGAGTGGAGCCGCCAGGCGGTCGGCCTGAACAAGCCAGTGGACCGCGACGCCTGGATCACCCACCCGACCGTCGTGAACGCCTACTATTATCCCCTCATGAACTCCATCACGTTCCCGGCGGGGATCCTGCAGAGTCCGTTCTATCAGAAAGGGAGGCTCGCGGCCATGAACTACGGCGGGATCGGGATGGTCATCGGGCACGAGATCACGCACGGGTGAGTGAAGAGGGGTAGAGGGGTGAACGACAGGCGAGTTGTTTTTCTTAAAACAATTCGGAAAGACGAAAAAGTATTAATTGCTGGTATTTGTATTACAACGGATCCTAAATCGCTACAGAGATCAGTCTCGACTGCGGCATTTAGAGCGTGCTGCATCGGTAGAACTCCGAAGGCCCCTGCAATGGATCTCTACGAGTTTGCGAATCGCTCTATCGACAATGAATCTACGAATCTCTTGGTTTCGAAAATCAAAATGTAAGCGTCAACTTTCATGGCTTAGTTTTTCCCGGGGAAAAAAAAAATACAGAAATGAATGCCTAAAAGGAGATGAAGGAAAACACCGACCGGAATGGATACAAGCAGGGAATCGTCTAAGCCAAGAAGTACAGACACCGGGGTAAATATGCGCATTATTATTAACCTGGGAGCGTCCCGTACGACTTTCCCCAGCTGGAATCCGATCCAAGAGTCGCTGGAGTCGTTCGAAGTGCTCGAGCGCCGGGGGGGGGGGGGGGGGGGGGGGGTTGCTTTCCCGATCTGCACGAGGACGTTCTGTCGACACGGAAGGTTGAAATGTTGGGATGTGGTCGAGTCAGCCTCATCATCTTAGCAGAAAGTAGGTGGTACCAATCGGGGCGTGATGGCGACTGAACGCCGATTTGGCGATTCTCACCCTGGTGCCGTTGGAACGAGTCCCTGTATTTTCCACACAGTACTCGATCTTTTCCTGCGAATGACTTAATGGTAGTCTTTGGAATTCCTCGATTGACCAGTTTAAGGATTTGCGCTCGTTCAGGGAAAAGGAGGAGGTACTGTAGCGTTGACGATTCAACGCTGGCGCAACGGGATATAGCGTCTTTTCAACGTTGAACTGTGTTTCGACATTGCTTCAACGTGGAGGCTTCTAGCACGACATCGAGGCAACATTGTCATGTCGAACGATCGACCCTTGCTCCCTGTTGTGACAACGTCGCTCTGCCGAGTGGGTTTCCCTTCTCGTGTGGATCGAGCTCCGTCGAAGGTGGGTTGGGTTCCCTCGAGTTCCGCAGAGCCTTGGGATGCATCTGCGTGCATGTCACGTTTTCCCGCCCTTTTCGGAAGCAACTAGACGTGGACGAGGGGGTCACGGAGTTGCGTCGCGTGTTCGTGCATCATTTGCTCCATTGATTGATAAAAATTTCTAGGTTCGATGACTCGGGACGCCTATTCGACGACCGTGGGAACCTCGTCGACTGGTGGACGGAAGCGACGACGGATGCTTTCTTGGAGAGGGCCATGTGCTTCGTCGAGCAATATAACAGCTACAAGATCCCCGAACTCTCGGGATTCCTGGAAGGTATCTGCTTGTGCGAAAGTCCATTTCGTTCTTCGTTTGTTCCGTTCTGTTTTATTCTCGTTTCCTCATCAGTGAACTCCCGCACTCCTGCCACCAGTGGCGCAACCAGCCCTAAAATTTGGGGAAGGGGGGGGGGGGGGGGGCTCGAAGTTCTCATGACCTGTCTTTAAAATTTTTCCGAATGCAAGAAAGCGTTAGGGGGGGGGGGGGGGGGGGGGGGGGGGGGGCTCGAAGTTCTCATGACCTGTCTTTAAAATGTTTCCGAATGCAAGAAAGCGTTATCATATCATTTGCAGGGATATACTCAACAAAAACGCGAAACGGCGCGAACATGAGAACAAAGAAAATGAAACAAAGAAAAATGATATGAAATGGTGGAAACGGAATTTGAACTCTAAATGAAAATAGCACATTCGACATCTGAAAAAAAGCTTAAAATGAATTTATTTTCGGGATTCATCGCAAATATCACTGCGCAAACATGTAACTGGAAATTCGTTAACCTGTGCGTGATTCACGCCTTTTATTTAAATTGTTGTCCTTCCATTTTCAGGAAAAGTTCAGAAGCGTCACATGTGCAAGACGTTTCCTTCACAGGTTCACTTTACTCAAGTGAGCAATTACATGTGATTGGCGTGACCTTAACCTTTCACCTCCTATCATAGTGCCTTTCCAGCCCCGCTCTCAGGCCGTTCGCTCATATATTTCTGCATCCCTTGGGGAGGTGGAGAGATGTACTGTACAGGGACCAAAGCAAGTGGCGCAATGTTTAGAGCTTTGAGACGCTTTTGGCTTTTACATTGGTCTGGAAGAGGATTATCAGAACATTTATTGCGTCATACGGTAGCTGTGGTCTTAAGCTATGTAGAGATGGTAGTCTCGTGTCGCTAGCTCTTTCCGTCGGGAAAATATTGACTTTCAATGTTGGGCAATGCGTTGCGCCAGCTTTTTGACTCATGGCAAAAATGACAACTTTAATAGGACAAAAAGGACTTCATTTGATATTTAGCTTAGCCATCCTTGGATTTCGACACTGCAGCAGAGTTCGGTGGTAGAAACCTGATGATTTGGGACTGGGTGACTGCCAAAGGCGTCGACTGGATCAGTCGTATCGATGGAGGCATGTTCGCCGAACTGTACATCAGTATCGTAGACAAATACGTTTTCGGTACAGTCGATGATTACGAGATGGGACGGGATGGCATCATCTTCCTGGAAGACAGTGATCCCAAGCACACATCTCGCAAGGCTCGCCGATGGTTCGAAGGCAGCAGGATGGAAGTGCTGGACTGGCCTGCGCAGTCTCCTGACATTTACCATATCGAGTACCTATGGTCACTGCTGAAACGACACCTTGGATGGTACGAAACTGACCACAAAAGTATCCACTAACTTCGGCAACGAGTAGAAGCCAAACGTTGAGTAGAAGCTATCATATGACGCTGGAACTGTTCTGATTGTCCGCTTCTAGCCGATGTTAAAGATAAAAGCGTTTCAAAGCTCTAAACATTGCGTCACTTCTTTGGGTCAACGTATACCATCATGAGCAGGGGTTTGGTTGCGCCCTTGGTTGCGCCTCCGCCTGCCATTTATACTCTTTCGTGCATTTAAGACGATTAATCTTTGATCCTGCGTTTTTGCACTGTGAATTTTTACACGTGGCAGACCCACACGTGAACGGACAGTTGACTCTGGGAGAGAATATCGCCGACAACGGAGGAATGGGAGAGGCCTGGTTCGCTTACCTCAAATACATCGGCCGGAACGGAGCGGAACCCTCCCTCCCTGGTCTCGACCTCACACCTCAGCAGCTCGTCTTCGTCACCTTCGCCTATGTATGAGGATTTCTCACATTTTCCGAACGCGTCGTGCTTCACATATTCCTGCACGCCCAGGTAGCACATTACATTGAATCAACAGTGATTGGATGTGGATTGAGTGTGCGAATGTCGAGGGTGGAAGGTGAACATTGTTTCAATGCTGATCGAATGTTGTCACATAACATTGTGAATTCCAATTGGGGAAATTTTGCTTTAGATTTCTGTGGCATCATTGTTAACCCCACGTAAAATGATGAAAAGTTGAACCTCTTCCGTTGGTTTTCAGAGTGCTATTAGCCTATCACAACATTGCATCAATGTAGCAAAAATGTGGCTCCCCAACTTTTGAGTTGCATGTCGTCTATTGATATGTATTGAACATTGAATTTTGTTATTATTTAAAGCAAATATATAGACCAATTCCTATTATCCTACTGTCACTCCGAGTGGTCTGGCATAATTTTATATACGATGTTGATTCAGCGTTGAATGAAATGTTTCTGTATCCTCTAGACCAGTGGTTCCCAATCTTTTTTTATATGCGACACGCATAAGGACACTTGAACTTTCCACGGCACACCCAGCCATTTACTTACTTGTAATGGGAAACTTGTGTTTGGTTTGTTGAACACAGCAGTTTGATACGAGGCGTGTGGGTACGACTCTCAGCTCGTTTTCCACTGAGTGATGGCGTTCCCTCTTGTTTTTAAGTTTTTTTTTAGTTGTATTGTTTTTGTTGTCAAATCTCAAATCTCGCGGCACAGCGTTTGGGAAACACTGCTCTAGACCGTTCTTATAAGCCAAGAAACTTAGGAAATTTCTATAAATAAAAATTATTGGATAATTATAACATTTGGAAACATTGATTGTGAATTGAGTGAGCAAATGTTGAGAATTGAAGGTGAACATTGAATCAATGTTTTTTTCTATGTTCTGTGTTACCAGGGCAGTGTATCATAGGTGCGATCATAATGAAGTACCATGAGTCTTCACTAGATGGCATCCATGTTTCCCTGTAGCCTCCTAATGCAATAACGGATCTATCATCCTCCATTAAATCGTTTTCTTCTCACTTCCCTCTTTTTATTATGTAATTAATGAACGTATATTTGAGTAATGAGGAATTATGATGCTCTGATTTCAGCCTCTGATTCTAAAGCAAATTAGATGGTCAGCTTTAGTATGGCGTATAGAAGTCTAGCTTATTAGAGGCAAGTGGAGCACCCGTAACAATAATACTGAAGTATCTGTTAACGAATTAAAATAAAGGAAAGGTGATGGGATTTACTATCTTTCCGCAATGAATTCAGGCACTCAATGTCCCCGTGTCGATTGCAGAACTGGAGAAGGACACTTCCATTCAACCTTCTCCGTACGCCACTCCCTGGGTACTGACCTATACGAGCTGAGGAGGGTTTACTCTCCTTTTTTCATTGTCCAAGGGCCTTGTGGGGCATATTGTTGAATTTGCCTCCACTTTTGCCCCATGGAGGAAAGCAATTATCAGAGATTCATTGAGGAATGTTGATTCAATGAGGAAATGATGTTGAATGGGTGCTACCACCAATTTTGTTTCAACATTAGCAAGGAATGTTGAAACAATGTTGAAGAAAATGACATCTTCGCATCAAATCAAGTGGTACTTCAATGTTGTTTCAGCATTCAAAATGCGGACGTGAAACATTGTTTCGATGTTGTTTCCATACGGATGTGTTTCCTGGGCAATTTCTCTTTTCTATTTAGAACTGGTGCGGTCACAGCACGAAAGAGTACCTGCTGAGCCAAATTCTGTACGATCCGCACAGTCCTGCGAATTTCAGGGTCTACGGGACCCTGAGCAACAACGCCGCCTTCGCTAAGGCTTTCGGGTGCAAGGCCGACAGGCCTATGTTCAACGGGGACGATAGCTGCATCATGTGGTAAGTGGGGGCTACATGTCCAGTTCTTGTTCTACTGAACTCCTATGCGGTGCTACGTTTCCTCCTGGAATGTGGTTCTTTGCAGGGGGTCTGAAGAAGAATCTGCTGGGTCGTTGCATTCATCAATGCACTGGAGTTTCTACGGCGTTTCTCTGGGGCTGCTACTGCTATCTGGGCATTGGAATTTTCCTTAAATTCTTCCCCTTTTTCTTATACATGATGTCATTCCATGGTCGCTTTAATCATGAAAGCATGATGTTCCTTGCATGAGTCTTATCACTTCCTACAGCGAACTACTTCTAGGAATTTCCAGGGTGTAACAAAATGTAGGCATCACATGACTAGCATAGGGGTCATTGACTGCCCTGACTGTTTCGTATTCATATGCTAACTTGAATTGATACTCCTGTCAGAGTTCTGTCGATAAACAGAACCTCGTTCAAGTGATTCGCTCTGGTTCAAATTGACTAATTGGCTCAATTTGGAACTAATTAATATAGGAACAGACTTCATGCCGTCTCCTTTTCATATTATTACAGTTTAAATTTTATGCGAATGTTCAGTCGATTTTTGCAACAGTAGGATGCCTCCATCTCACACTCCATCACCCGGTCGGGAGCAAGGGGTTCGTGCGACCGCCCGGCGTCACCATTCGGTGAGCTGCCTTTTCCTTTTCAAATTTCCTTTCAGCCTTTTCGAACCCCGTGTGATGTGGGGGGTTCGAAAGGGTACGATGTGGTCACCGAATAGTCCGAATAAGACATGAAGGATCTCGTCCTTGGAGGGCGAAGTGAGGCGGGGGACGATGAAATCACATTAGTACATACATACACTATGCACATATATAATACATACATATAAATGACATTACGAACGTATCACGCATTCGTCATCCCTCGGAATTCGATGAGTATCAAGTAGGAGAGAGTGGGAAAATACCGAAAGGCGGGTAAATTCGAACAGCGCAAAATACCCTATATGGAATGTACAGGTATTTAAGCCTAATTAGCCCCGAAAGTCAAGGATTGAGTTTCTTTTGAACGAAAAAAGGTAGGCCTAGGTCTGATCCAAAGACAGTCCGTCGGCCTAGGCCTAGTGTAGCGCTCCTTTCCTTACTAGTGGTTTTCCTTATCAAGACATAAGGGTAGAAGCGCTGGGGAAGAAAGGGAAAACCTTTGAAAAATGGTTTTCACATTGCTTCATTCTAAATTGTTCTCACCCCATCGAATCAGCCCCTAGTTGAACCATCCACAATTGCCAGGAGTCTCTCTGGACCTATTTAACCTATTTAAAGAATTGCATTCAGGAAATCGAATGTATTCCCTTACTCTGCGGGAAAAGATCAGGTATCCCATGAAAAATACTCGGGACTTAGTGCGAATCACTCTCCGATATCGTTGAAATATTGGCTAACTTCGGAGGAACATTCTTTGTTCAAATAAGTGAGATAGATGGCGTGCCCACAGATATTGCAAATGTGCTGATGTGGTCTTTAAGTGCTGATGTGGCCTCTATATAGGCAACCCACTGCGATGCTGGCTAGCGCGTCCCAACTCACAGCCAACGTGGGCCCAACGTGATGTGTTGTCTACGACCAGGCTGGGTTGTCATAGAAGAAAACAATGTCCGGGCAGAATTCTTTTGTAAGTCAATCAGCAAATATGTTTTTTTTTTTTGCTCAATATCTTAAGATATGAAGTTTTGAACAGTGACTCCTACTTTCAAGGTTGTATTCTGATAAGAACGATAAGGATGATAAGGACAATGACTTCATTGTTCTACATACTTTGTATCCGAGGTACTTGATCTCTGGATCTGCCCGACGAGAGAGAACCAACGTGAACCTCAAGTTAGTCACGTCACTCTTCCTCCTTTGTAAATATAGCTATGTGACTCCATTGATAATCATAAAATGAAAATTTAAAACTTTTTTCTCTTCATGTTTGCTGTTTCTATTACAAAGTTACTTCTTATCATTGCATCCATTAAAATTTTGTTTGAATCAAGACCTGCAGTATCTTGCGTTACTCTGGAACTTCCAGTCATTCATTCCTATTAATCGGCAGTGTCCTGACTCAGCTCTTCTTGATGGTACCCGCGGACGCAGCGACGAATCAGGAGCTCAAGAAACGTAAGTTCTATCCCCTCGTGAACTCTTCCCCCACCCTCGCTCCTTGAGAGATCCGCAACGACTGATGACCGCGCGCTCGCTGCACCAGGTCTGGAGGCGACACGGATGGGGATAAGGTCAACTCCGCTGAAGGGCGGGCTGCCGCCGAAGACTCATATCCCCCCTTTCCCGCAGGACCCCAGTTTATTTACCTTCAAGAACCCAACCCCAAAGGGCGGGCAGCGCAGCGGGAAGCCTGAGGTCGAGAAACCCGTCGCCGAGTCTCAGCAGCAAGAGAAGAACCTCTGCTCCACGCCGGAGAGCAAATGAACCGGTCTCCCGAAGCTCAAGAATTCGATAATCAACTTCCGCAATTACACCAAAAGAATTTTGTATTCAGTACCTGAGATGTGAATGGATGCTCACATAATAAAATGTCTCCCTCTCGTTCGCAGCAGTTTTCCCATTCCCTTTGCAGTCTAAAAAGATTTTTTCAGTCAATTAACCTGCAAGTCCTTTTATGACGTGGCCACGGCTGCATCAATCTCCTCGACTTGAACCACGTTTCCCCGGATTGATTATTTCTTGGCAGGGCCCACGATGAACGCCGCACTGGTAGATATAAATCTGGAGATTTATATCTACCGTCCCAGGCAGAACATACCATCGAGTTAATGTTGAGAAGGTGTTGTTCGAAAGCGCCATTGTCGAGAATCTATTAGCCCAGGATTAACTGAAAAGCATTCATTTGCAATATAAGCACCTTGTGTGATACGTTTGCTTTTGCCTATTTCCCGGTGAAAGTCTGTTGAATGGATTATTCATGCAGCAACCCATTCGGTACGGGTTATTGCGTCGCCGCTGAATCAGGATTGATTTTTCAGCAATGTTGCCACAACGTAGTGTAAAAGGTCGACTCAAATGTTGCCGCATTGTTGAGATGAAGCACATCTTCGGCATTGAAAATATAATGACCTCGTATCGTCGGAATCTTCGGCACTTAGAGTTTGAAGGAACTTTAGAAAGTACTTAGCGCTGGAAAGTACGTTGTCGATTCCACGCGAGGCTGCAACAATCCATTACTGGTTCAGAATCGGAGATGAGATCCACATCGGTCACCTTTATGCGAATCCATCTAATCTAAAGCCTCCGTTGCAAGTGGTAAATATATATACATGTAGTATGAATATATACTGTATATACTGTACATGCAGTATACCAGTCCAGGTACGGATCTGCCGTTCCAACGGCCATCTGCAAGGAAATAAAAGTGACAGATAAAAGGAAAACACCCAGACAGATTACAGTATCTGCGATTTTCCCATGGCATCTAGGGGCTTGGGAGATAACAATATCTGCCGTTTTCTCGTAGTAACTATGGAAATGGCAGATAAAAAATATCGGGGACGCACATCTGGCATCATGGATTCGTCGGCCCTTAGGCGCCACCTTGCATAGTTTTGGTAGAACTTATTCTCTGTCGAGACTACGCAGTTGAAATAAAATTGAGGCAAATGCAAACGCGAAATATGAATTCCCACTCGATGGCCTCCGAACGATAACTTCGAGAGTCTCTCGATGCCGAAAATGCGGTTAATAACAAAGAACCGGCATTTCATCGCTGCCGATTCTTCGCTGTCTCGCTGTCAGGTAGGGAGATCGCGCTTGTTCGTCTTTGCTTTATTCTGTTGCCGCTAACACGATCATTACTCGTTCATTCAAATTAGATCTGTTTTTCAAATAGATCTCATTTTCATAAATAAAATTTGGATTTGATCTATGAATGCTCTAACATTTACATTCCTCTCATCATACATATCTCATACATACGTATACAGTAACTTCTTTCCCTGAAATAATACGCACAGAATGCTAAAAATATATTCATATTATATTTATATTTACATGTATAGTGACGCCATAAACTGTCTTAATGCTTCTTAGCTTTGACTTCCTGTTGCCATAACTCTCCAATAAGATATAGTATCTGATCTCTATGCCCTCTTCTGAAAGCAGTGGCTATTCTCTTTTGCTTGACGCAAGCTACTAGTCATTTCACTAGTTATTTCGCAATATGCTATGTAATATAAGAGCGAATCAAGCTCATACATTAGGTGAGTTTCTGGTTTTTTCTTATCATTTTTCTAATCATGATCACAAATTTTTTGTACCCAGTGAACTTTCCGTTAGCCTTTACCGCAGACACAACTCTCCTCTGGATGCTACTGAATCAATTTGACGCATTCCGATCAACGGCTGATGCATCGTTCGACTCGGACTCGCTGCCGAAACTCGCGCATGCGCCTCGACCCGAACTCGCGTCCATTAGCGTATCGCTTCGAATGATCCCCGCAAGTTCTTGCTGGATTGAAGGTGATCGTGGCGGGCGATCCACAAGTTTGATGAGTTCGTTTCTGAACCACCTCCATGGCTTTTTTGCTGCGTGCCCTGGATCAATCTTTTGGAAGATGGCTTGATCCACAGCTGACAGCAGTCCACTATTTATCGAGCTCAGAGACCCATCACTGTGTTTGGCGGTGAGTGCCAAAGGGGTCTGGGTCTAGGTGCTTCGGGTGGTTTCCCGCTTGTCCATTGGTTCCAAATCGGTTACATTTTGCTCTCGTCTAACCAAATGGCACGTTTCGAATGGTATTCCGTCCAACCGATGTATTTGATGGGAATATATAGTCGAGCTTCAATGTGTCTGGGCGAGAG